AGATTGTGGCATGGTTATCCTCCCTGGGGAGGGATTCTCACTTTCCTTTTCTCTCTCTCTGTCTTTCTCTGGAAAGCATACACATCCTATAGCAAAAACAAAAACAAAAACAAAAAAGCATGTCTCCTCAGCACTAAGATATCTAGTATTTATTACAGGATCTAAACCTGTTTGTCCTAAAAAATATCTCATATGGTTACCAGAATTTGCACTTGTTTCTAGAAATGTCACTGTCTAGGAAAATTAAACTACTAAAAATAGTTCAAATTGGGCAGATACAGATGTCCTTATCTAGTTCCTGGAAGCCTTTGGGAGACTGAGAAAGTGGTGGGTTTCCTGAAGAAAAGTTGGTGGTTTTCTTAATATGTTAACTTTAAATGCTGTATGAAATAAAAATAGCTAAATTTCTTTGTTTATTTGTAATGCCCTCTCCTAAAATGTCACTTATGCTGAAATCAAACTGGAACTGCTCGTGCTAAGTTGTTACTGACCATTTTCCAGGACCGCTCCCTTCTTCTTGGGAGCTCTGTTTTTCCTTCTCCATTCTTCAATAAACTCTCCACTTTGCTATACCTACCAAAAAATAAAAAATAAAAAAGGAAGGAAGGAAGAAAGAAAAAAAGAAAGAAGAAAGAAAGAAGAAAGAAAGAAGGAAGGAAGGAAGGAAGGAAGAAGAAAGAAAGAAAGAAAGAAAGAAAGAAAGAAAGAAAGAAAGAAAGAAAGAAAGAAAGAAAGAAAGAGAAAGAAAAATTATATTGTTTCCCCTTACTCTACAGTCATCATGAGAAACTGTCAACTTATGAGGTCTCCACTACTGTGTTCATACTTAAAATCCTTCAAGGAGGACAAGTGGAAGGTGGAGAACTGTGCAGTGGTACTCGTGCAGATTTTCTTTGGAAATCTCAACTGCAAGAAGAAAAATTTTTGGTACTTTTTCAAATCTATTCATGGGATGTGGAGAACCACAGAATTCCCTCAGTGAAAGTTATTAATAGATTCCCTATAGAACAAGGGGAAATTGTTCCACTGGGCATTAAGAATTAATCAGCAAATTACCTAAGATGTACCTAAAAGAAACAATTAGAACCACATTTAGTTCACTGTGAAATAAACTTAACAAACTGCCGCTGAGCAGTTTTTCTTACAAATTCATTTCCTTTCCCTCACTACTCTCAAAAGTGTCCATTTCAATCACTGCACACTCTCTTGTACTGTCTCAACGAGTCATCAAACTCATTATATCTAAAAACAAATTTAGAGTCTTTTCAGATCCTGTAACCAAACATACCCCTCAGTCCATCTACCTATTCTTATTAATGGCATCACCATCTATCCCAATTTTTATAATTTTATTTTTTTATTTCAAAAGTTGATAAAAATATGTACTGTACACAAAATAATATTTTAAAATATATATAATTGTGGAGTGGCTCAACCAAGCTAATTTAAATATTTTTAAAGAAATAAATCTGGGGACCAGCAGTTAGTGTAATAGCTATGTCGCTGGACTCCCACGTGATCAACCGTGGTTCGTGTCCTGGACCCAGTGGCTTAAAACGCACGCTGGGCACGTGTGTGCGTGTGTGCCCAAGATCCTGAGAGGAGAATGGAGGAGAAGGGATTGTGGCGTGGCCATCCTCCCTGGGGGTTGATTTCTCACTTTCTGTCTCTCTGTCTGTCTCTGTCTGTCTGACAAGCGCACGCGCCCTATAGCAAAAACCTCTCAAAAAAAGAAAGAAAGAAAGAAAAGAAATAAATCTGTAAGTTGTCTGTGATACTTTGATACTTAACCCTACCTCAAAACTATGTTTTAACTATTTCACATCTATTGCTTTTATTGTCTATTAAAACCATTCACTTTTTGGGGGGCCCAGCTGGAGGTATACTAGTTAAGGCACTGGATCCCACATAGCCAACTGCATGATTCAAGTCCTAGATCTAGTAGCTTAAAAATTGCTCCAAGCATGTATACATATGTGCCCAAAAATTCCAAGAGGAGAATGGAAGAGAAAGGATTTTGACATGGTTATGCCCCAAGGAAATGATTTTTCACTTCTTCTGCCCTCCCCTCATGAATGTGCATGCCGTATAACAAAAACCTAAACAAACGAAGTTCACTTATTTTGAAATTACAGAAAGCACATTATCCTGCCTAAAATACTAAAATGAGTTTCTAACAATGTATATATGTTCTTCTAACATTTCTTCCCACCATTCTCTTCCTTTGGGCCAATGTCATCTGGGTAAAATGCAAATTGCCTAGTCAACATTGCTCTCAACCCCCCCTCCCCCATTGCTGCATCTCCACTTTAAATAAGCTTCTAATGCACTTGCAAGAAAGATCAGAATCCTTGAGCCCATAGATACCTTTCCTCATCCTAAAACATATCCAATAATCCTCTAGACAAAGCTTCTTCCCAGTTTCATTAACATATTTGGGGGTGGATAATTAAGATGCTCCTTTGACAGTAACAAAAATCTTCTAATTGAAGTTGAAATCATAATTTCTTTTGGGACTTTTATATATGATATAGCTGAAAAAAATTAAGCTTATCCTTTGTTTTTCTCTTTTAAGAACAGAATTTTCCTTGAACGGTCCTCAAGCTATCCAATATTCCTCTAGGCTCCTTAGATTTATGTCTGACATACTGCCTGAGTGAGAGAAGAAACACACACTTGGTGACTAGAGCTGACAGAACTCTTGAACCCACGTAGAAGCCCCACAACTGCCAACTTGGTGGCAGTGTGTTTTCTAAAAAAGGGTTTTCAGAGATTCCAACTCTGAAAATGACAATCCAGAGTCACAAACATGCACCTGTCCCTACTATGGGCATAGTAGAATATACAACAGAGTATGATGTACATACAAGTTAGCAAAACCCAAATCTCTGACAGATACAGGAATTTATGTCTTAGCTCTCCTGAGCTGCAAAGGTTCCCTCTGAAAAAATACTTGTAGGGTAGTAACTACAAGTGGGTTTCATTTAATAAGGAGGGAAAATGTGGTGTCTGCAGGTGCTTCTGAGTGTTGTACAAACTTAACATCAAAGATCACATGAACATTATTAAACATTGCATCACACTTTACAATTAGGCAAGGAGGCTGTCCTACCCAGTCCAGCTCCAAGCTCTGATCCCCTCAACCTCCTTCTGAGGAGCTTGGCCCCCACCTTCAATCACTCAAAGAGCATCATTTCAACTTACAATGTTTACTGAAGTTGACCTATCTCACAATTTTTCAAAACACATATCCTAAATCTGATTATCAGAGTATACTGTTCCAATCTGATAACTGATTATGTCTCTCCCACGCAGGAGGCAGCTCATTGCATATTGAAGTCTGATACATTGAATGAGCATTGGAGAGATAAGAAACTTTATTGTCAATTTTCTGTGCCTGATTTAGTTATGTATGACACATACATGTGCAACATAACATCAGGTTGTACTTGATTAATATATATATTATTCATTCCACTGAAAATGTAAAAATTAAAAACAAAGCAAGGCTATAAAGTATCTTCTAAGAAACATCATCAGGAAAGAAAGAACAAAAACAGATCTAGTGCTTATTTAGAAAAATATCTTTGTTTTATTCATCAATAAATACAATAACATTAGTTAGAAAGTCAAAAATACACACAAAGAATATCATGCTAGAAGAAAAATTGAACATAGACTAGAAAATATCATATTTATTTATTCAATACCTCTAAAATGAGACACTAATATTAAGATTATGGGAAACATTGGAAATTTTCAGGTTGTTTGAAATTACTAAAACAATATTCTATTTATGGGAATTCTGATAACAAACAGAAATTCACATATAGAATTTTAATCTCTACTTATTTTGAAAATTCATTGTATAATTTTTGACATAGAGAATGAGAGAGAGAGAATTCATTAGAGCAAGATTTTACTTTTATCTTTAAATACTAAACCAGTTTCATTCTTTTTTCTTTTAGAGAGATTTTTGCTATAGGGCACATGCACTCCCCAGAGGGATAGCGAGATACAAAGAGATAGAAAGCAAGAAATCAATCCCCAGGAGGAATGGCTACACTGCAATCCCTCCTCTTCCATTCTCCTCTTGGGATTTTGGCATGCACACACATGTGACCAGCAGAGTTTTAAGTCTCTGGGTCCAGGATTCAAACCGTGATGGATACATAGGAATTTAGCAATGTAACCATTACACCATCTGTGTCCCGGTTAAGCCAGTTTCATAACTCTAACCTAATCTTTTTATCTTCTGTCTGGTCAGCTCTACTGAAACTGATAGAAATAGTAATGCAATCACAAAGCTAATCTTTGAACTTGCATTTTCTTGCACTAAAATATTTCTAAATTTATAGATAATTAAATGTCATGTTATTTGCAATATACTAGATAAAAACAGGTAGAGTTTTAATTATGAATTGTGATTCATTTTAATGCCCCATTCTATAATCTTAAGAACTTCCATTTTCCTCCCTAATATCTACCAGCTTTCCCAGGAACTTTATACTTATTTCTACATGATTTCACTAAATAACACAATTTTTCCTTCAGAAATGTATTCTACTAAGAAACAGAGTTTTATTTTCAGCCATCTACCATAATGACTGGATATGGCAAAGAACCACAAAGGCTCACTAACTCGCAGGTCAGAGGGTGGGCTAAATTCATTCATGTAACTAACCGTATATCCAGGTCTCACTTAAGAGTTATTTCTCAGTAAATATTTCTCAGTAAAATTATCAGTTACTGCCTATATATTTGAAAGTTTCTAATACATAGCTGTTTTGCAAAAGTGAGTCCAGATTTTAAAAAAGTATTATGGATAACGTTATCAAAACTTCATTGACCCTATATCCAACTGAACCTAATCTGAAGCACATGGAACTCATGGATCAGCTGACCACTAGCCCTCCGGCCAGGCAGAGCTTTGACAGATCTGGACTTGAAGGATTAGTTTTCAGCAGAAGTTAAAGAAGCAGTACTTTGAAAGTTACGTGTCAACTCTGTTTTTTTACTAAAGTTCTTCTCAAGGCATTTGTAACCTCTTTATTTCTCAGGCTGTAAATAAAAGGATTTAGCAGAGGAATTATAATTGTGTAGAACAGGGAGTACATTTTGTCCTGATCTGCAGCTGGGCCAGACCCGGGGCGCACATACATGAAGAAGAGAGTGCCGTAGAACAAGGAGACAGAGAGTAGATGGCCACTGCACGTGGAGAAGGCTTTGCGTCTGCCCTTCTCAGACTTCTTTTTTATAATAGCAAAGAGGACCGAGGAGTAAGAGATAATGATACCTATAAAAGTGAAAGATTGTATAAAAGCTGAAAGTACAAAAATCAGAAGCATATTAACTGTAGGGTCAGTGCAGGAAATCTTAAACAGCTGTAAAATTTCACAGTAGAAATAATGTATTACATTGGATTTGCAAAAAGTTAATCTAAATAACAAACCCACATGCATCATAGGATGAAAAAAGCCAGTAATATAGGAGACACTTAACAATTGAATACAGAAAACATTAGACATCACTATTGGATAAAGCAGGGGGTTACAAATGGCCACATAGCGATCGTAGGCCATCACTACCAGGAGGAAACATTCTGTGTTTGCACTAGAAGCAAAAAAATAAAACTGGGTCACACAATCAGAAAGAGATATTGAATGATTCTTTGATAGGAAATTCACAAGCATCTTGGGGGTCACAGAGGAGGAAGTGCATGCATCTGCAAAGGCTAAACTGCCCAGGAGTGAGTACATGGGGGTGTGAAGGTGGGCGTCCTTCCAGATGAGAGCAATCAGGCCAAGGTTGCCCGCCATGGTGATGAGGTAGATGACCGAGAACAGCAGGAACAGGGGCACCTGCAGCCCTGGACGATCTGTGAGTCCTGTGAGGACAAACTCGGTCACCAGAGTCTTGTTTGTCTCCATCATAGTCACACAGAGTGATCACTGCAATGAGAAGGCAAGTGAAGAGCACAGCATGAATTATCTTGAAGATGATCGCATTTTATTTTTTTAAATTATCTCCAATTTTTATGTCTCCCCTTTACTCAGATTTACTTTTATCCTTGAATAAACATTCCTTCTAGTGTAAAATATTTGTAAAACTGATCTTAAAATATAAATATTCCTATATTTTCAATGTATATATAAAAGAAGTGATTTTTTTTTCTAATTTAAAAAAAAACTGATTGCAAATTATAATCATCTTCTAGGTCCAGCCTGATGCCAAGTAGGTAATGCCTAAACTGCAGTGCTAAAAGCCGCATGGCCAACCCCAGGTTCCAATCCCCAGCCCGGTCTAGCTGAAACACGCCAGCTGCAGATGTGCAGGAATGTGCTCAAGACCCTGAAAGATGGGGGGTTAGGGGAAGGAAATTTGGGCATGATCCGATCTTGTCTAGGATGCTTCTCTCTTTCTCTCACTGCACACATATATATTAGCTCACTGATTAAAATAAACAAAAAAATTGCCTTGTCATTTAAAGATCTTTAAAAATATGAATAGAATAGGGGCCAGCCAGTAGCATTGTGATTACAATACTGGACTACCACATGGCTGACCACAGTTCAAGTCTCAGACCCAGGAGTTTGAAACACGTGTGTTTGTGTCTGTCTGTGTGTGTGTGTGTATGTGTGCCCAAAATCTCAGGAGAATGGAAGAAAAAAGATTGCAGCATGGCCATCCCCATCTAGGGGGGTTGGTTTTTCACTTTTTCTTTTCTGCCTCTCTGGCAAGTGCATGAGCTTATGGCAAAAATTTCTAAAAAAGAAAAAAGGGACCAACAATTGGCATAATGGCTATGTCATTGGACTCCCATATAGTCGACTGTGGTTCAAGTCCAGGACCTGGTGGCTTAACCTCATACCAGGCGCGAGTGCATCCGTGCCCAAGATCCCAAGAGGAGAATGGAGAAGGGATTGAGGCATGGCCATTCCCCCTGGGGGTGATTTCTTACTTTTTGTCTCTCTGTCTCTGTGTATTTCTGGCGGGCGAGCATACACACCCTATAGTAAAACCTCCTAAAAAAAAAAAAATGAGGGTCAATAGATGTCATAGCAGTTACTTCACTGGACTCCCACATGGCCAACAGTTTTTTGAGTTCTGGACCCAGTGGCTTGAAATTCATGCTGGGCACATGTGTGTGCATGCCCAAAACCCTGGTTAAAAAAAGGGATTGTGATAGGGCCATCCTCCTTGGGAGTGATTTCTCGCTTTCCCTCTCACTGTCTCTGTCTCTCTCAGGTGAGCATATATGTCATAAGGCAATAAACTGTTAAAATAGAAAAAAGAATAGAATATACTATTTAAATAGGCAATACAGTAGCTATTAAAACTAATGCAGGGACCAGCAGTTAGCGTAATGGCTATGTCGCTGGACTCCCATGTAGTTGACTGTGGTTCACGTCCCGGACCTGGTGGCTTAAAACTCATGCTGGGCGCATGTGCATGTGTGCCTAAGATCCCGAGAGGAGAATGGAGGAGAAGGGATTGCAGCGTGGCCATCCCCCCGGGGGGTGATTTCTCGCTTTCTGTCTCTCTGTCTCTCTGACTGTCTGGTGACCGCACACACCCTATAGCAAAAACCTCTCAAAAAAAAAAACAAAAACAAAAACTAATGCAACACATTCTAAGAAAAAAATTTCAAATTAAGAAAAGACTGAAATGTACACTCAAATATCATTATGAAGAATTATTGTATGGAAATTCAAATAAATCTATGGTGTTAAATGTTAAAGTTAAGTAAAATTGTGTGTGTGGAGGAGTGGGGCCTAGGGAAGGACATTTGGAGGAGGGATACAGAGGCAGAGCATTGATGGGATGGGGAGGCATGGTGTAATCTGTTGAAGATATTTTGATCAGCTGGACTGGGGAGAAATGTTCACATATTGAAATGTTCACTTTGTAAGCTAGACAATGTGATTGAATGTATATAAAACAAAAAATAAGTTAATTTTAAAAAGTAAATAAAGTTAAGTGAAATAATACAGTAATATATAATGAAATATTAAAATTGTAGGAGTATTTTCTAACTGTATAGATATTTATAATTTGCCAGAGAGCATGTGCATTTATCAGAGAGAGACAGAAGAAGAAGGAGATAAAGTGAGAAAGTACCTTCCATGGCGAACAGCCATACTGCAATCCTTTCTCCTCTACTTCTTTCTTTCAGAATTTTGCATATTTGCACTAGTGCACTTGGTGTTTTTCTTTTCTATTTATTTATTTATTTGAAGAGGTTTTTGCTATAGGGTGTGTGCACTTCCCAGAAAGACAGAGAGAGGGACAGAAAGTGAGAAATCACCCCCTGGGGGGATGGCCACACTACAATCCCTTCTCCTCCATTCTCCTCTTAGGATCTTGGGCACGCACGCCCGCACACCCAGTGTGAGTTTAAGCCATCAGGTCCGGGACTTGAACCGTGATGATCTGATATGGGAGTCCAGCGATATGGCCTTTACGCCAACTGCTGGTCCTGCCTGGGGTTTTTCTTAAATTGCGGATGTGAGACTTGAGTTGTGCAGTTGTCCATGAGGGATCAAGGTGCTTTACCCACCATGCCTCAGGCTGGCTCAATTAATATACTTTACTAATTTTATATTGCTATAACTAAACATTAGTGATTAACTTAATAAGTCCTAAATTCCACATCTCTATATAAATTACAAGTATTTTTAATGCAAACAATATTAAAAAAAACATAAAAATTTAATAATAATAGCCATAGCACTTTAAAATATATTGATATAATTGCTTTAAATTTGCAAGGCTTATATGAAAAATAAATAAAAACTTATTAAAGGTCATTACACAATTTCCAAAGAGACAGCCAAAATGCTGGATAAGAATACAATGTTACAAATTTGTCATACAACTGAAATTTATTTCATTAGTATCCTAATCACGTTCTAATATAATATTGTGAGCATAAACTTGATTTAAAATTGTATAAGATGGATGAGGGAAATATTAACAGTAAGGAGGGTCAAGTATGCACCAGTATTAAAACATAAGGCATTCCATTGAAAGATATACTGTATAGAAATAGAAAGTTATAATAGTGAAACTAATGAAGACTCTAGAAATAGCTTCAAATAAATACATAAAATTAATATATTCCAAAGGTGATGTGTATTTGAGAGGAAAAAAATTGTTGATGCATTCAATAAATAGTATAAATACATATATGACTATCTACCTGGTAAAAAGTTATTTTGTCTCTTGCTCCTAATTTTAGAATTGTTGCTTGATAAGTCCTTGAAAGTTAAAAAAAAATAAGAATGGGTGGCTAATTAAAATATTATCAAAGAACATGGAATAGACACCAGCAGATTTCAATAATGGTTATATCACTGATCTCCCATATAGTTGACTGTTGTTCGAGTCCCGGACCCTGTGGCCTAAAACTCACACCAGGTACTTGTGTATGCATACACAAAATGCCAAGAGGAGAATGGAGGAGACAGGAGGAGACAGGATTACCATGTGGCCATCCCCCCGGGGGGTGATTTCTCACTTTCTGTCTCTCTGTCTCTCCCTGTGTCTCCAGCGAGTGCACGTGCCCTATAACAAAAATATCTCTCTCTCAAAAAAAATCATGAAATAATTATAATTTAATTATGTTACAGAAATATTTAGCAAATATCAGAAACCTATAAATTATAAGAATAAATAGCAGGGCCAGCATATGAGCATATGGCATAGCAGTTACATCACTGGACTCCCATAATGGCCAACTGTAGTTTGAGCCCTGCACCTGGTGGCTTGAAAATCATGCTAGGCACATAGACATGGATGCCCAAGATCCCAGGAAGAGAATGGCAGAGAAGGAACTGTGGCATGGCCATCCCCTCTAGTGGGTGATTTCTCATATTCCCTCTATCTCTGTCTTTCTCTCTCTCTTCAGCTCACACACGCTAAGGTAAAATCTACTAAAAGAAAAAGGCATATTTAATCTACTTTTTACTTTCATGAAGATGGAAGGAAATATTAAATGAAAGATTAATAGTTTTTGGACCAGCAGTTGACGTCATGGCTATGTCACTGGACTCCTGTGTAGGCAACCGCAGCTCAAGTCCCAGACCTGGTGACTTACACTCATGCCAGGCGCATGTGCGTACATGCCCAAGATCCTGAGAGGAGAACAGAAAAAAGATTGTGGCATGGCCATTCCCCCTGAAGGGTGATTTCTCCCTTTCTGTCTCTTTGTCTCTCTCTGTCTTTCTAGCAAATGCATGTGCCCTATAGCAAAAACCACTCCAAAAAAAAAAAAGAAAGATTAATAGTTTTTTAAATGTAGTAAATATGATTGATATTAGCACCTATCACAGACAATAATGATATCTTTTGAAAAAAGTTAAGTAATTTAGGGAACCAGCAGTTAGCATAATGGCTATGTCGCTGGACTCCCACGTAGTCGACCGCGGTTCGTGTCCCGGACCCGGTGGCTTAAAACTCACACCGGGCGCGTGTGCATGCGTGCCCAAGATCCCGGGAGGAGAATGGAGGAGAAGGGATTGCGGCTTGACCATCCCCCCTGGGGGGTGATTTCTCGCTTTCTGTCTCTATGTCTCTCTCTGTCTGTCTGGCAAGCGCACGCGCCCTCTAGTGAAAAAAAAAAAAAAAACTCTCAAAAAAAAGTTAAGTAATTTAGTAGAAAAATGAAAAGGAAATAAACAAGTCAAAGAAAAATATATCAACATATTTAATAATTGTAGCAAAAAATGCTCACGTTCTCCAGTATGGAGAATGTGCAAATAAAATAACAATAAATATAATTTTTCACTTTTCAGATTAAATTTGCTGCTTGCAGAAATTTGGAAAGCACATTTGATATATATGTGAATTATTAAGCCTTTAAAATATAATTTGACAATATCTTTCAAAAATAAGACTATACATACCATTGAACTCAGCAATCCATGACTATAATTCTTCTATAGCAAGAGCAATTATTTAGCAGGGAAGGAGATCTACTGCAGCATTTTCATGGTGACAAAAGCCTGAAATAAGAGAAAATCATATTAAGGTGAAGGAAGAGTTGGCTGTCTCCTGATATCAGCATATTAATTGATATTATGGCAGCTTACCAAAAATGAGGTGGAGTCTACAGATTGACTCAGGGAAATTTTCATACTTATTAGACATGTGGGAAAAGTCAAGATATAGAGAAATAGTGTACTATAATCCTATTAAGCATGAATAAAACAAACTCTTCAAATTCTCACAGTATGTGTGTCTGTAAACACATATAGACATGAACATAATTACAAATAACCAGATGAACATAAAGATAGTATGAATTGTAGACTCTAGATTGTCAATATTAATTGTCTAGCTACAGCTGTCAGGAGAGAGTAAAAGATAGGAGACACAAGGTAAAGAGCTCCCTCCCTTAAAAAATTGTGTTATATGGACCAGCAGTTGATATAATGGCTATGTCACTGGGCTCCCATGTAGTCAACCATGGCTCGAGTCCCAGACCCAGTGGTTTAAACTTATGCCGAGCATGTGTGTGTGTGTGTGTGTGTGTGTGTGTGTGTGTGTGTCCGAGATCCCAAGAGGAGAATGGAGGAGAAGGGATTGCAGTGTGTCCATCCCCTCTGGGGGGTGATTTCTCACTTTCTGTCTCTCT